AGCAAACAACAACACTTCACCATCAAATGGAAGATCCTTGCCAAGGCAAAGCCCTACTTGAATCTGACAAAACGATGCGACCTATGCACGACAGAGAAGCACTTCATCATCGCCAAACCGGAACTGGCAACATTAAACAAACAAAATGAACTAATTTCTACATGCCAGCACCGACGAAAATTCATTCTAAGATATGGTTAACTAACTGCATTTCGTTTTCCCAGCGCGCACATGCTGGCACTTGAAACATTGACATGTTTAAAGCTCATGCATAAGTTTCAAAATTTAAGAAGTGTATTCGAACATGCAACGATTGATTGTAATGGTCTATTATGATGTTTTGTAACCACCTGTTGTAATGGTTTATCGCATCTTGCGTGGCATATTGTTGATGTGTTTCTTAGTAGGCTTCAGTGTATGTGGAAACTAACTGATGAGTAGGCTAGCTTTATGTTAGCCTGCGAAACAGACCTGTATTAAACTCCATATGTATTCAAGATCTGAGTAGTCTCTCAACATAACTCGTTATGTATGTATTTATATATGTGTATTTATTTACAACATGGTATACCATGTATAACGTATAAATAANCCAAGGCAAAGCCCTACTTGAATCTGACAAAACGATGCGACCTATGCACGACAGAGAAGCACTTCATCATTGCCAAACCGGAACTGGCAACATTAAACAAACGAAATGAACTAATTTCTACATGCCAGCACTGACGAAAGTTCATTCTAAGATATGGTTAACTAACTGCATTTCGTTTTCCCAGCACGCGCATGCTGGCACTTGAAACATTGACGTGTTTAAAGCTCATGCATAAGTTTCAAAATTTAAGAAGTGTATTCGAACATGCAACGATTGATTGTAACGGTCTATTATGATGTTTTGTAACCGCCTGTTGTAATGGTTTATCGTATCTTGCGTGGTATATTGTTGATGTGTTTCTTAGTAGGCTTCAGTGTATGTGGAAACTAACTGATGAGTAGGCTAGCTTTATGTTAGCCTACGAAACAGACCTGTATTAAACTCCATATGTACTCAAGATCTGAGTAGTCTCTCAACATAACTCGTTATGTATGTATTTATGTATGTGTATTTATTTACAA